ATTTAAAAAAACAACGCCTGCCGATATCAGAGCATCATGACCAGTCTGATTATTTACGAACAGGTAGTCAATCATGATATCATGACCAGCCCATTCGCAAATGAATAAGTAGTCAATCAGCTTGAGAATGGAATGGATGATTTAAAAAAACAACGCCTGCCGATATCAGAGCATCATGACCAGCCTGATTATTTACGAACAGGTAGTCAATCATGATATCATGACCAGCCCATTCGCAAATGAATAAGTAGTCAATCAGCTTGAGAATGAAATTGATGATAAAAAAATCAATACCACTGCCAATGTCATAGCATCATGACCAGTCTGGTTGTTCACGAACAGGTAGTCAATCATGACATCATGACCAGCCTATTCATTTACATGACACCAGCCCATGCTTTACATTTTTTCACATCTTTATAATGTAGATGTCAAAACTCAAAAAACATTAATTTGAAATCGCAAAGTTTTTGTACCAAGGGTTAGATTTGTGCATATGAAATTTACTTCTCTGTACGTAATCTGTTTCACCAACTTACAGTAATAATTATAAAACATATTTTGGAAAATTACACACAGAAGTTATATTTTTTAGTGAAATTGTCTAACATCAATTTTTTACTGCTAATTTTATATTGAAATTTTTGAAAAATAATGTTCAAAAAATTATTGTACAACTTTTTTTTCAGAAACTTAATATGCTACATGTCACCTTACAAATCAGCTACAAAGCATTTATGTATTGTCTATTTAAAATAATATTAATTGCACCTGATGGACTTTTCCATGAAAAATAAGGATCAGTACAGTTAGCATTCGTAATTGTAGCCTAAAAAAGCTAAAAAATTTTATATGGACGTTGACTAGTCATACCAAAAATGAAATATTTGTCAAAATTTTGAATAAGTTAAAGTTTGTTATATAAAAAACAAAACTCCATTTTTTTTTTTTTTTAATCACATAGATATCAAATAAATATATATAAATAAAAGAATTATTTTTAAAACCGCAGAATAAAAAAAATTGATATGCGTGGTTATCGGATTTTATCTCTTAGGGACTTTATTTCAAAGTTAATTTATTTGCACAAACCTTTTTTTTCAATGTATGAAATAATTTATTCAACATTATTTTGTTAGTTCATACCAGACTATGTGTTAAAAACAGATACTTATTTGCATACTATGTGATAATATAATTAAAGCTCGAAGTCGTAAGAAATTTTTGATAAAACTTAACAATAGTTTGAGTAAAAACCACTAGAAGACCTTTGTAAAAAAATGTTTGTTTGACTGTTTCTATCCGTGATGAACGGTCGTAACTATGATGAACAATAATAAAATCATATCAAATAAAACTAGACTTTGGTAATCTTACGACATCACGCTTTTTTTATAGACTTAATGAGCATTAAAAAACAACAGTTTTCAAAAATTGTTTATGTATTTTGCACAAGATTTCAGGCCATTTATTATTTACAAAGATTTAATTACTTTTTTAAAAATATTTTCGTGAAGTGGTAAATAACCAAGTAACATACTTATCGCTAAAGTAAGAAATAATTGTCATTCTTAACATTTTTTCATTAAGTCTAATATAAGTTTTTCTTAAGGTAGATCTTGCACTTAGAAATACAATAAGTTCATGTCAACAATGATGTGAGCAGGGATAATAGTTTTTTTTAATGTACGTAGAGGCCTCCCGCCTCCTTCGCACTTTTTGCGCTAATTCTTGATCCATTATATTTTTTTATTTTTATAATTTTTGAAAAAAAAAATCAAGTACAAATACAATTTTTGTATAGTAATTATTCAAAAAATCTATTGAATAAGAATTGATTCTAAGAAAATTTCTGAAGGTATTTTGTTATGTTCATGAACACTTTCGAATGTATCATTTTGCTTTTTATTATTATTTTACATAGTGATATTTTAAGTATGAACATAAAAACTTTTACAATGAGCTCTATTTATCTTGAGGGATTCATGAAATACTCATAATTTTGGATATACTATTCTCTATATGAGAAATATTCAAATGCCTTTAGACTTTAACTTACATTTACATTAATATGCTACGTAAATGATTCTGAATAAAAAAAAGTTAAATGAGCTTTTTTCTCCAAGCAAATTTTTAAAACATTAATATTGTAACATGGATCCTTCCATTTTACTGATTTAAAGAAGAAATCGATAATTAGATAAATCATCAAGAGTAGTTTTGAGAGTAAAGAATGAAATTACTGCGCGCGCTTACAGTAATCTCATAACTTCACTAACAAAACTAAAAATCCGAAAAAATTTGACTCTAACTTGCAACTCCTACATAAAAATTCAAGTATGACAAGATTATTTTATTGATAAAAAGAAGACAATCTGCTTTTAGTCAAACATAAAAGGCCTGTACATGATTAAATTTAAAACCATTTGAAACGTATTTTTTTTTTCGTCTCTTTTTAAACAGATAATTAAATGTTTTTACTTGGTTGTAACCGAAACTTGGTTGTGAACGAAACTTTAAAAATATGATATTACAAAACAAAACAGTAAAAAGTGTTTGATGATGGTACGTATAAAAAAATTAGAACTGATCTTGCCTGTGGAGAATTCTAATAAGTAGCAAGTTACTTACTAATTCAACCTACTCAAAACAGTATGAGTGAATAAAGCGTGTTAAATCTGTTTCATGCATCTCAAATAACGTCATCGTTTAATATTTCTCTGGAATTAATACGGAAGATGTCTTAAAATATAATCAATATGACCACATTATTGATTTACGAATGAAGAGGAAGAAATTATTCAAATTTAAACAATTTTTAACATCAATTTTAAAAGAGTTCAACGTTACTGCTGTACTACACGTCCATGCGAATTTTCAGTGATAGATATTCCTTTACTATAAGTGAATACTATGGTTTGAAGACATAACAAACGTGATTCAATTCATTTTTACCGATACTTCGGGAGACCGACCGAAGTCAATCGGCTTATCGTCTCGATTTCGTACACAAAATTTGAAAGTTGAGAAATACAGTGCATTTATCACTCTTTTATCTAGACAATATACCTGCGGAACCGACAAAAGTTTCATTTGATAACAATGCAAGCGAACCCATACACATTAATTTTTTTCAAATTTAATCGGTAAGAAGACTCGTTTTTTACCAATTTCGTACGTCAAATTTGTATATGTTATTAACAAAACTTTTCGATTCTACATTTTTCTCAAAAACTATCTGTCAGTATATAGATTTCAGGCGTGTTAAGCTCCTTTCATTTTTTTGTATTCCTTTTGTATCTTGTAATTCAATTTCATAAAATGAACTTGAATATGTTTGAAACATTAAAGCAATAATGTTTATCAATTTTATGGAGACATGTGCCGTTAAAAAAATGAAATACAATGAATGAGCGCCCAAATTGTGAGCTTAATTGGAAATCAAGTTAGACAATTAGTAAAAAAAAAAATCCTTCTTTCCATTTATTGTGGAAAAACAAATTGTTCTACGTTTTTGATACTAGTGATTATAATATTCGTTCTAANAATAAACACATGTTTTTTATAAGGAAATTTTTGCTTTACAGTTGAAACATTGAAAAATTACTTCTGTTTGAAACTTGTTCACAACACTAAAAAAACTCAACTTAGTAAGAAGAAATCCGTTAATGCCGAAAAAAATGTATGAGAGTTCATGGCCTATTATAGACGATGTCATTATTGTGAGTAGATACCACCGTTTTTACCTATGCAGGCGACGCTGTTTTAGATTACTGTTTGGAGCGAATATGCTACGTAACTTATTCAGCATGGGAACCGTACTGCCAGCTCTGTCTGCCAGGCAATATGTAAACTTGAGGCGGTACTACATTTGTCACTTAGAATAAACATGCGAAGTGCTAACAGTACGGTTCCTTCGTTAAATACTTGTACTAATGTCAATTCAATCATGTGTTTTTCACGTATAAAGTAATTTAATAACATCAATGCTTCTTACTTTCGTTAGTATTATTAATGACAGGTTCACCATGTACAACTTGTAAGTAATCTATCGGGTCTATATTATCATCCTCTTATCTAGATTCTTCTTCATCAGAAATAGTATTTGATTGATTAACAGTTCGACGTCTTTGTGGAGGCGAACATTCATCAGTTTGAGTTGCTGTCAAAACAAATTACACAAAATAATGATATTTCTACACATGATAAATATATAAAATATAACAAAACGTATTAAACTCGATTGACATGTCCAATGATATAATAAAGCATGATTTGAAAGACTTATCTAATAATTTTTTTCGCACTTCTGGTGTAAAAATCTTCTTTTTATACTGTTAAGTTCTATGAAATAGCAATGTTTTAAAAACTTACGAGATTTATCTGATCCCATGACTGAATTTCTTCTTCCACTTTCTTCTGCTGGATATGAAATTTAGAATTCAATGTTTATCACTCGAAACAAACTTATAATAAAAGATTTGAACATGTACATAACAGAAAAGGAAGTAAATAATTATGTAAATAATTGCACAATGTAACTAACAGTTCTTTAAGCGCAAAACAAATACAAGCCCAGTAATTATTTGACTGCAGGTCAATATATAATTATTTTTCAAAAATAAATTTAATTCACCATGAGCTAATTTTTTTATATTAAGCAAATAACTGATTGAGCACACCTGTGAAGCCATTTCCATTATCAGCATTACTAGGGACAGCTGATGAAAAAGTTTAAATTTTATAATTAAGTTTAGGTTGTTATATTTTTTTTTTATAGTTCAAAATTTTTATACATAAAACGTTTCATGTACAACAGAGATTTTACAGACTCCATTGATAATTCATAACGAAAATTGTAAGTACGAAAAAAAATTGTTATCCATCATAAAAAATTTAAATAATTTAACTTGCACAATAGACTGTTATGTCAACTTACATTCACTCAATTTTTCTCTCTTTATTATAAATCTTTCCCGTTGCCGATTTAATCGGCGCGTCAGTGGATCAATGAAAACATTTTCATTGAAGTCAATATCTTCTTCTGGAAATGAACAAAAAATGAAGGTGCTATTTTTATTGGATAACACAAGATATTGAAACCACAATAAAGCTAGATGAAATACCTATTTTCCGTAAGCGAGGAAGAGGTACGTAGCGTTGATTTTTAGATCTGCCATCCAAGCTTAATTCAATTTCATCATCTTCATCTACATCGACCTCTTGATATTCTTCTAGTTCATCTTCTTGATTTTCTTCTGATATTTCTTGTTCTTCATCTTGTGCTTCTTCATCGTCTGTTTCTTCTAGTTGTTCTTCTTCTTCTTGCTGTTCTGTCACTACTTTGCTTTTTGGTAATGTGGCTATGTCACTATCAAGAATCTTTTTAATGTGGTAAGAGACATCACCTTTAAGATTTGCTATCGCTTCAAGAAAGTCTCCAATTTCAAATTCTTTGGTAAAGTTTAACTTATCCCATGCTTAAACGATGAGAAAAGTATTTTATAGTAATTTGTTACCATAAGTGATGATTATAAATAATATTTATTATTACCTTCTTCTATCATCAATCGCTTATACTGTGTTTCGTATCGTGGAAGACGACTAGTTTTACATAAATTAAGACTCTGTTCAATTTGATTTTGAGACTTGCTTACGATTTCCTTTAAGCTTACTAAAAATAATTTGCACTGTATAATTATAAAATGACTCACTTGATACGCAGACATTTTTGATAACAAAAACAATAATGAGACGTCTACCATAGTGTAAAGACAAAAAAACTAGCACCAAAAATATAGACATGTATATGTAAAAAATGACTTATGCATACTCTATTTGCTTTTGCGATATATACTTACAACATTCAAAACTTATGCAGACAGTAAGTGTAAGTCACGAAAAGTCTGCATAGATAAGTATTTTAAGAGAGAGAGAGAGAGAGAGAAAGGGAGACAGAGATACTCAGAAATAAAGATACTATACAAATAGATATTAACACTTAGATATAAGCACAATGAACAAAACATATGCTATAAGCATAGACATATACGAAAAATAGACTGCTCGTTCTGATGTATGGCGCTGAAGCACAAGTAGAAGGAGACACAGCATCGAATGTAGATGTGTGTCTCTCTCGCACATTTCCAAAGGAGGGAATGTGCGAGAGAGACACAGATATCCACGTTCGATGTTGTGTCTCCTTCTACTTGTGCTTCAGCGCCATTCATCAGAAAGAGCAGTCTATTTTTCTTACATGTCTATGGCTATAAGTAGGACTAGCTGAAGCACACACATGCGTCCACACACACATAATATTAAATAATGTTTTGTCATGTGTATTTGAGTTTACTTAGCATGGTTTTTTTTTAACATCAACTGAAAAAATCGGAATGAACTAATTTAAAGGATTAAGATTATTTCGATTATTATATAATAATTAATTATTGCATGTTATGAATCAAGATTACAAAAATTAAAACTTACTCAAGAAATCACAAGGCTTTGGATTCTGACTGATATCATTAGCTAATTGACTGTTGAAGCTTTCATTGAAATAATTCGTTCTCCTAGTTAATCCAAACACGCTAAAGCCATCCGGAGTTGTGATACGGATCCACTGTCTTTGATAGTAACTAAAAAACTTGACCTTTTGTAATTTTTGTTTGTATTGCTGTGGCATTGAACTTTCGATAAAAGTAAATCCTTCTTGAATTCTGCTAGGAGGCAAAAAAGCTATAGCTAAGATGCTATAGTATAAATTTGCATTATCTTGTTAGTGAAAATTATTATGGTTTCGCGAATAGTAGAATTAAAAAGATGTTTGTGATACTATGGGTGATCACGATAACGATAACGTTTTAATATAAAATATTGCTCTTAAGAATGTATATCTCGTTAAAAAAATGAGAGAAGGGATTTTATGGAAAAAATTTTACATGTAAATAACTGTACAAAAAATATTGTTGCTACACTTATAGTCGATAGACCACCTATCGAGCGAGAATCTAATTAAAAACATTTTTTATATGTAACATTACTTTTTATGAAAAACTCTTAAACTTAGACCTTCTACTTGGAAATTTTTATTAAACTGACACACAGATTTTGAAAAAATTTAACTCAATAGTGAATCATTATCTTCTCTGAATCAGGAGTGCGTCTGTAAGAATCATATCAATTGACCTTCCATGGGCGAAGAAATTAATTTAAAAAATTAATAAATATTCCAAAGAGTAAATCGACGCCTCGTACGAAGTCTATCCTTATTCAGATTTTTCAATGTTATTTTAAATGAGAAAATCTGAATAAGGATACACTTCGTACGAGGCGTCGAAATAAACCATATATATGTTAGAAGATAGGAGACGTGCACGCATTCTTAACTCAAAAGAGACAAAAAGTCGAACTTCTTTTTCACATCCCTCAACAACACAGATATACCTCCTTAAGCATAAAACCTAACACTGTCAGCTTTTAAACTAATGATAATGTAAAAATTATTTATCCAATTTCATAAAGACAATAGTACTAATAAATGGAAAAAATTTATAGTGATATGGTGAACTTACTCTATCATGGTGGAATAAGCATCCGGCTAATTGTACGTTGTCAGGGAAATATTCATGGATTGCTCCTCTTAAAGCTGATTCAAAATCGCACATCACTAGTTCCAATTTAGAAAAAGGAAAGATTTTTAAAATTTCTTGAAACACAGACTTGTACGCTATTTTTGTTTTCCTTGTCATTATAACGAAGAACATGGGTGCTGCCTGTAATTTATTATTTGATTTTATTATATTATTATCAACGAACGCATACATTTCTGAAATTTGCAATGAGGAGTCTAGAATAAAGCCCTAATTTTGTTCAATGAGATACATATTAATCGATAGTAAATTTTATTCAAGAAAATAGTGATTTTAAAAATAAATTACTTTCTAGTATACCAAATCAATTTTTTAATATAATAATTCTTGTGTTATAATGTTTAACGTAATCTGTCAAAAGCAATAATGGGGAGTAACCAAATCATTTAGACAACAACATAAACTAAAAACGAAAGCTAGAATGATTACTACGATTACTATAATTTCTTAACTCTACAAGGAACTAAGAAAAAAAAAACTTTCGAATAGTGAACTGAAAGTAATCAGTTATGATCGAGACTTAACAAACATTTGTCATAATACTCATATTTTCGGCTGTGATATTATGTGAATTATATATTTTAAATGGTTAAAGATGAAGCGTATTACTTACGTGACCAGCTTTTATTCCAAGAATATTTAGTAATTGACACACATTCTTGATTCTTGGCTTAGCATCGAATGTACCATCGATAAAAATATGTTTAACGTCTGTAAAATACTTTGAAACGAACTTTTTGTCATAGAAAATAATCGATGTAAAACCCTTTTCATCTGTTACAGGAATAGCAGTTAAGGTAGTTGTACAGCAAATTGAAATATAGGATAGAAAATTATGATATTTTGCAGGATGGTAGATTAATGCATAAAAATAAGAAATCTAAATTTTTGTGACCCGAGGGTACCTATAAAGGGAGATATTCATAATTATTTGCATGCCTTGAGTTTTTGTTTACATGCCAATTCAACATGGCGTCTTATGGGAAACCGCGGAGCTGTCTGTATATTATCATTCATATCGTTGCTAATATAGGATAGGTTCTGATGCCCTTTGGACAGTAGAAAGATAATTAAATGACAATTATATATTCGCTTTCAAAACCTTCCAAGGGTACTTGTGAGAAAAGTAATTAAATAGTAAAGCGTGAAGAACGTGCATTTGTGAGACGCTATTTGAAAATATGGCAACGCCGCATAATCTGATATTACGCGCGCGGTTTGAAAGGTAAATAGGTACATATGNTTGAAAAAATATTAGGCAGTTCTATTTTTTTTTTTAGATACAAAAACAAAAAGACAAAATTTGAAATCCACATGACAGCCCAAATAAAATTATCCATGAAAAATTTTAATTGTTGGTGTATGCTTCAAGGACTTACTTGTGTCGTATGAAATTAAAAATGGAAAATATTTACAGATTGGTAACATGAAAAAAAATTTTCTGTATACTAAATAAAATGTGCGACACTTGAACTATTTTATTCAAAAATGCTTTTGATACCTCAATTAATTTGAGTATAAAGTTAATTTTGAACCTAAATTAAGATCATTTCACGATTGATTTGTGTAATCAGTATTTTTAAGTTTTATACATTCTTTGTAAATGTGCATCAGTCAATTCCTTACGTAAGATGTAAGATAAGTTATCGTTGAAATCAAGCAATTTTAAGCTTTAATTAAAAAAAAATTTTTAACAATTATGTGATAACTGAGCAAAATATCTTACTTCTTGCAGGCGATTTTGTATAGTTCATTGAAATCCCAATACTTCTGCTGCAATTGATCGTGTATGAAAGATCGCATTTTCAAACATTCCTCTTTATCGTCATGTAAACAAGTTGGTGCATGTTCCTTTGTAAGAATCAATTGCTCATCTGCATCAAACAAAACTGCTGTAGCTAGGCAGTTTTTTGTACTACATCGGTAATATCTAGAAAAAAAAATTTTTTTATCAAAATATGTTAACAAACAGAAACATACGTTCGATTGATTAAATCAAGTCACCAATCGAGAAAACGATTTAAATCTCATTTCTGGATTAGATTAAATATCTTTGAATTTGTTGGGTCTGATTTATCAGGTTCATTCTTTGAATGGTAATTTGAAAATAATTTTGTTATCGAGGTGGTATATAAATATATGACGTGATTCAAAAATACTATAGAACTAATGCAGACTTTTATGTAGCACCAGAAACATGTCCAAATTTTTGTGAGACTTTTTATCGGTATAGTTTATCGCATAAGATAATTTCTGACAAGTTAAACCAGAATTAGACGTTTTTTAAGTTTTTCGAGATGATTTCAACCTTGTCTGACAGAAGAAATCATCTTACACACTTATATTAGCATGTTTCTAAGTAAAATGAAAAAAATTCAATGTTATAAGAAAACGCATGCAATGTTCATCCCAAGAGTTATTCAGATATATCAAGTAATTCCAAGGGCTTTAAAATAAAACATGATTTTTTTTTAGTATACTTACGATACAACTCCGTACAGCTTGTTAAATCGGAACGTTCTTCTATCTAACCGTCTTCTTTCTATTGGTCTAAAATCTCTCTTTTTAGAAGATTTTTGAGAAGTTTGGTGTTCAGATGTTTTAGGAAGTAGACCGTTCGTGATATCCCCCATAATAATATAACTTTTAAATGCCTAAGAAACATGAAAATTAAGAACAATATCAGACTATTTATAATTAAAAAAATATGAGAAGAATATCTTTGAAAATTCTCAAATTGTAATTAACGATCATTTGTGGGACGTCAGTTTTTGAGTTTTCCGTCCCTTACTTTTTCAGTGCATTATCACATTTTTATAATAAACAAAGTTAGAGTTTTTTTTTTATTACCCTTCCTATATTAGGTGTATTTTCGAAGTTTGTTAGACTCTAGTTTGATAAATTTTGCAAATAATAAGATAATACATTTAACATATGTTATACAAACTAACTTATAATAAATGGTTTAATAAAGATTCATGAATTTTGTATGTAAAGTACATAAATTGTCGAAGCCATTGATCCTTTAAGTTTGGGAAGTGTTATTTTATGAATAGAGAATGGAATGCAGAAGGCAAGAGCCT